GGGGGCTAAGAACACACTTATCTCCCTGAGCATGGCCTTCATAAGTCCATTCCATCACATAGGCTTATGGTTGGATTCAGTTCATCCCAACGCTCTCCCTTTTGCACAGAACCTATCGCAGCAGACACACCTCATTGAATTCAGGGTTGAGAGTTTTCTTCTTCACTGCAGTCTTATGCTTAGATTTTTTGTCCTCGTCAGGTTTCAAGTAGCTGCAAAGGAAATCATCCAGATCTGTTACCTGAGTCGTTAATTCAAGCCTCAGCAACAACAGCAACAGTAATCTCATCTCATCAATGACCAAAAGTTGGATTACTTGGAACAGCACACACATTATCTTGCTGGTGGATGACCGCGATAAAGTTTGATTTGATATTTGCATATATTATGATGGTATCTTTAGCCATCCTAGATCCTTGGGAAAGATCTGATAGTCAAAAGAACCAAATCCAATAGCAATAATAATAATAATAATAATAATAATAATAATAATAATAATATAGTTGCATACTTTAAGAAAGTAACTTGTATCCACTTGCTATATCCACATCAAACTATATTGTTCTATATTGTTCTTAATTAGGGGGACTGATCCAGCATGGCTCTATTATCAGTTATTCCAGTTTCAATAAATAATAACAATAATAATAATGAAAAAAACTTTGGCTAAAGGCATCTGTTCCCTCTGTTCCTAACAGCAGGGGATATGCTAGTGTTTGCACAGGAATTATATCACTATGGAGATTAAGCAGACAGAACTAAGAGACACTTACCAAACAAATGATTGGTCGCATGTGTGCAGGATAGAATAATCCCACCCCTAAAATTAATTTAAGTTAATTTGTTCAATTTAGGCACCGCTCAATTCCAAATTACTTCCAATATAACCAAAAAGATAAAATACAAGAATTCAAAACAAAACGAATGAGACAAATCAATAAAAACAGATAAAGGGCAAGAATAAAATACAGGGAGTCCTCAGTTTAAGAATAAGTTCTGTTCCCAAGGTCTGTCCTTAAATTGAATTTGTACGTAAGGTGGAAGAGTATTATTGTATAATATTGTATAAGTAGTATTGCATAATGAACTTGAATCATTGTGTATTTCACTCAAATCGCTCTGTATTTAATTCAAATTTTGCTACAATAGGTGCTGTTCTTAACTATGGGTCGTTTGTAAACCAGGTGTTTTTAACCCAGGGACTCCCTGTAAATCAACAAGAACCCTACAAGGGGAAAAGAACTTGCCCATCTACCCCATTGTGCAAGGCTGACCACATTTGGGTTGCTTCAAGGAAGATGTTGTCTTACAAGAGGATGGCCAGAGTTAGAGATGGAAAATATTCCAGCACTGAACTCCCTAACCTTTTCAGGCAAAGAGGCACATTGGGTAGATTGAGAACCAGTTGTAGGTGCTCTCACAAAATGGTTACGATGATGAGCGTGAACATCTCCTTCCCATGCGGCTTGATTCCCAATGATTTCACAGGTATGTCCATGGACGTTTCTCGGCAGCAGGATGGAATGCTTTCTTCTGCGATCTTGTTTCAACTGACTTCATTCATTCATTCATTCATTCATTCATTCATTCATTCATTCATTCATTCATTCATAGACCCATATGGCTGCTCATCTTGTAAAACACAACTCTGGGCAGCTCACACCAATAATAAAACCAAAAAAAAGAAAAAACAAGAAAACCAAGGGCATGACCCACCATCATCGATCCATACAATCCTTGAGCTCAAACCTCACCCTATGACAACACCTGGAGCGAAAGCCAACCCTTTATGGCTTTCCTGAAGGCAAACAGGGTGGGAACCTGTAGGATCCTGTGGGGAGAGTGTTGCACAGGGCAGGGACTGCTATGAAAAAGGCATGCTTCCTAGGTCCCACTAGATGGCAACGTTTAAGGAATGGGACCTGGAGTGTGCCTACCCTGTCCAGTCTGGTGCAGCAGGCAGATACTCTCAGGGAGAGGCGATTCCACAAATAACCTGTCCTCATGCCATGGGGTGCAAATCAAGCAGGCACCTTGAACTGCACCCAGTGCAGTTTGCACACAGCAGCAGTGGCACATGGGCAATCTGGGAGGCACTCAGCACTGTGTGAGCTTCTGCATTCTGGCCCAGTTGCAATTTCCAGGTCACCTTCAAGGGCAGCCCCATGTAGAGCGCATTGCAATAGAGGTGACCAAGGCATGAGTGGCCTTGAGCAAGGCCTCCCAGTCCAGGAATGGTGTAATGGGCACACAAGACGTATCTGTGCAAAGGTCCCCAAAGCGAAGGCTGCCATCTGCTCCTTGAAAATCCAAAGCCCCTCCATCTTGCTAGGGTTCCTCCCCATCCGGACCCTCCCAGCTGCCAGGTCAGCGCCAAAAGGCATCACCTGCCCTACCTCTTGTCCCTCACCAACACCAACTGGCACCGGCTACGGAGAAAGGAAGAGAATCACTACAAAACAGTGCCTCCTACTCCCACAGCTGGTCCAGAAGGGTACCATGGTTAATGGTATCAAAAGCTGTGAGAGAGCCATGACGGTTGCATCATCCTCAAAGGTCATCCACAAGCGTGACCGATGCCATCTCGGTACTGTACCCCAGCCTGAAAAGAGTCTAGGGGGCTAAACATGGTTGGGTCCAAGGATGGCCTCTTGAGAAGAGGGCACACACCACCGCCTCCTTCAGGGCAGGCAGAACCACCACTTGGATACAACCACATGGTACCTCCCAGGACACCTTGACCATCCAGGAGGAACACACATCCAGGATACAGGTGGCCAAGCTCACACCCACGAGGACCCTCAAGATCAACCAGCTCAAACTCCTCCCAGATAATTGAGCTCAGACTTGTCTCGGTCACTTCCAAAGGGCCTGCCTAGCCAAAATCCAACTCCAAGCGAAGTGGAATAACTTTGTCTGATGGATGCAGAGAACATTCCTCAGTATTGACCTTGCAAGGACTTTCATGGCTCTTCCCTACTCAGGAAGGACATGGTCACCTGAAACAGAGCCACTGGCTGGCTATCTGCAGATGCTGTAAGAGCGGAGAAATAAGTTCCCTTTACTGTCCTTACTGCCACGGTAATAAAAGCTCTTACTTGTGCTTGGTCAGGTTCCCACTCTGGCCAACAACCCTGGGCTTCCTGGTGCCTCCCATCCAATTACTAACCAGATCTGACCCTACTCAGCTTCTGAGCCAAATGAGCTCAGCCAGGCGCCAACTGAAGCTTTGATGAACAGAGCCAGCCCCCAAATGTTCACTTACCCAAAAGCCCCTGGGGTGGGAGATTGCTCCTCAGGGTCCCCTATAATCTACTAGAATGCCCTTTTTGTCTTTTGCTGTGGACAGGTGGACACGCTCCCCTCTTATTTTTATCTTCTCGCTTGGAATTTCTGTAAGATCCAGTAGCCCTCCGGGAAATAAAAGCCGTGCTTTGCAGCTTGCAAACAACCCATTTAATCCCTTTAATTAAGATCATCTAAGTATGGGAGCTTGGGGGACATCCAAAGGAGTCCATTTCTAGGACTAATGATGGCCATAAAGTCAGAACTTGTGGTCCAGACTGGGTTGAGAGCGATCGGTGGTTATTTTTTCACTAGCAGGCCATGCTTTATGGAAAGGAAAACAAAGCTGGGAGAACCCCCTTAAACTTGTCTTCACTTAAACAGCTAAAGGCAGCCCTGTTGCCAGTCTCATTACTGTAAAAAATAGGGCTCAGTCCACTAGGCAGGGAACTTTATGCTGGCATATTTTTTCCTCCAGATGGTGGGAAGGTTTTAACGTGTCTCTGTCTGGTTGGGTCCACAGAATTATGGATTTAAATTGCAGGAAGTTATTCCAGTTGACTTAGAAAAAAACCTCCTAAGAGGAAGAGCTGTTTGACAGTGAAACCGATCATGCAGAGGGATTGGGCTCCCCTCCACTGGATCTGGCTGCCTTACAAAGGGCCAGGCCGGGCAAAGGTCAGCTGGGGTCGGCAGAGTGCAGGGCGGCAGGGGCCGCGGAGTGCAGGGGGCCAAAAGGGCATAGATGGGGGGGAGATAGGTGGGTGGGGGCTGTAGAAGCTCACCCTGCAGTTGTAAATGCAGGCGGGCTGCCAAGCACCTGAATTTTGATCCCGTGACCGCAGGGGCACTCCAATGGCCATAACTTTGAGGACCGGGCATAAGTACCATGCATTCAGCACTGTCATAACTTCAAGTGGTTGCTGTACAAATGGTTGTTAAGCAAGGACTACCTGTAGTGTGGATTTGAAGAGCTGAGACACAGAGGTAGCATTTTGACGGGAGGTGGGGGATCATGGGGGCCGGCCCAGTAGGGTCAAAAAAGTCAAAATGGTGGCAGCGATGGTGCAATCAAAGCCCCGCCTATTTCTCAACAGGAACGGGCTGTTCAACCGAATTTTTGGGAGACCAAATAAGAGTCAGCGTTGCTGGTCTGCCATGAAAGGGATTTGGAGTGTCTTAACTGAAGGGGAAGTATCTGAATTCTGACTAACAGCAGCCACCCTCAGCCCTGTCTTGCCCAATTATCTTTTTAATGAGAGATGCCTCGATTGAATCCGTGACCATCTGCGTTTGCGAAAACCGGTGGTTGTCGGCCACTGTGCAATGCTTCCCTCTCTCTCTCTCTCTCTCTCTCTCGCAAGTTGCGACGGGTAGCAAAACATGATTTAAGCCCCGGAAAAGAAATGAACATCAAACTGACCCCGCCTTAACTCTCTTGGGTCTAATAGGGAGGAAAATGCTGTCACGCTTTCAAGATTCTGTTCTTCTACCCTACATCAATAGAAGCAGAGTTCTGGTATTTTGGGGAGTCTGTTTCCTGATCTGGCCTACCTCAAAGGGCTGACAAATGTCCCATCTACCCCAGTGCGGTTTCCTTTGTTTAGCCCAAAAAGCAGAATTCTTTCCCTCAAAACGATCAAGAGGGCATCTGCATTTCCTACATGACTTTTTTGACCCCCCCCAGCCCGGCCGATGGCCCTGTCCGATGCTCCGTCCTTTAACTCAGAGCTCTCTATTCATTTTTGCCCGTTCAGACTGGCAGGCGCCCTCGAGTCATCTGCTACACAAGCGTTTTTTTAAAAAATCGTATTTAACTTGGCTTGAATGTAGGATTCTGTTGCCTTCCTATTATTTTTCCAGCCTCCTGCCAAACAACGTTTGTTATTGTTGAAAACTGCAGTTAATATTAATCGCCATCCTCCAG